CATATTTCAAATACCAGCAGGGTCCCCTGTGGTGGACAGGTTTCAGTAGCGCTTCCAGACTAAGGCTGTCTGGGAAGAAGGACTTGGCGCGGTACTTCTGAAGAAAGTTGGCTGGTGAAAACCTTACAGGTAGCTGAGGATGGCTGCCTGAGCCCTGCCTAGAAACAGAACCTGGCCGCTGTTGAGTTGACTCTAGTTCATGGTGATCCCGTACGTATCAAGGTAGAGCTGTGCTCCACGGGGTTCTCAGTGGCTGATTTTTCATAATGAGATCACTACACCTGTCTTCCACGTTGCCTCTGGGTAGACTTGACCCTTCACCTTTCAGTTAGCAGTCAAGCAGATTAATATTTGCACCACCCAGGGACACCCAAGCCCCACCTAGGAGCTTCTAATTCACCAGGTTCTGGAGTAAGGTCTGGACTTCACAAAATGTTGACGCTCCGCCTTTGAGTCTGATGCTTATTTCTGTTCGGTCCTGGAGGCCAGAGACTGTGTGACTGTGTGTTCTAACCTCCAGCCTCTGTCCCACGGTGTGACATGTTGACAGTGACTAAATGAAAACTAGAGAAGTAGGCACGATTCCTGTTAGTGCTGCTGACAGTTTTGCTTCTACCTCTCCTTGCAGATATCCCTGTTATTCCAGATCTGGAAGAAGTACAGGAAGAAGACTTTGCTTTGCAGGTGGCAGCCCCTCCCAGGTAGGTTAAGTTAGGTGTGAAGTTGGCAGGGAGGCTGGGAACATGGCAGTTTAAGTACCGTCCACAGTGGATAGATGTCAGTGTAGATCCAGCTGTTCCCATCCTGGTAGGCATTTTGTTCCCATTTTTGTCAGCCCCGGCTGCATACAAGGCTCTGGGGGTGGTGGCAGCAGCACCCCTGGAGCAGGTCCTGCCTGTGGTTCTTCCTCTCATTTTCTCATATATCAGCGTCCAGGTCAACCGGGTGATGACTTACCGTGACCTCGACAATGACCTCATGAAGTACTCAGCCTTTCAGACCTTGGTGAGTGGAACGGCTTCTGCATAGGCTCCAGCAACATCCATGGACAGACTTCTTGGTTCCCCAGACGCTATAAGACATCTCTTCTGTGGGTCCACCTAATGCTGCCTGGCAATAATGCGTACGCTGGTGGCATAATCCTCGGGTATCTCACAGTCTCCCTAGACCTAACGTTTCCAGCGCCAGGCTACGCCCCCCACTTCCGTCAGCTTCACACTTGGCACTTGATGCCACACCTCTCCGCTCTGGCTCTGATGGTGTGCTGCTGTCATGCTCTGCCCTCCTGGTGTTGACCTTTCCCCCAAAGAAGGCCCATGTGCAAGATGTTATGATTTCACCTCATTTCTCAGTGGTCGTATGGCCCGTTCACGTTGTTACTCCTTTGTTAAGGCATTTTTGCAAGTCTAGGTTTGGGGAGTTCTAATGCTTACAACTGGGTCTTTGTCACTTTGTAAGAGACTGCTGTGCAAAGGCCCTTGAGGTGCACAGCCTGGCTCTTCTTCATTCACAGGATGGAGAGATTGACCTAAAGCTCCTCACCAAAGTCCTCGCTCCAGAGCATGAGGTTCGAGAGGTATGGTAGCAGCAGCAGCCCCCTAGACTTTCAACCTAGTGGTCCACGGGCTGACCTGTGCCTCTCCGAGGCCTGGGAGGGTGTGGGAAGGTGGCTTTGATTGAGGGCAAAGACCATTCTTCATCTTACCCAGTAACACTCCTCTTGGCAGGATGATGTCAGCTGGGACTGGGACCATCTGTACACAGAGGTGTCCTCAGAGCTCCTCATGGAGTGGGACCAGCTTCAGATGGAGAAGGAGGACCCTATGGGGCAGCCCAGACACCCCTGAGCCCCGGGGAGGACAGCAGACCACTCTTCCTGCACAGAGTAACCTCTGCCTTGGACTTGAAAAAAAAAAAACACAACAAGCCTAAAACTAAAGAAGCTTGCAAACAGCTTAGAATTTTTACCTGGAATATTTTGTAATAGAAATATTTATTCTCAGTAGGCTACATGGGATCATTCAAGGATAATAAATGGCTTTACTCTCCAGTGGCTATGGATTCCGTTTCTTTCCAACACCCTCTGGATGGAAAGACCCATCAAGAGTTGGAGCCCAGCAGCTTTTAAACAACGTGAAGGGAACTCTTCACAGTGTTGAAGACCATGAGGGGAGGCTGGATTCGGGAGAAGGAATGAGCACGCCTGCTGGGAAGTGGTTCAGCTCCCCGGGGGCCACAGCATTCCTGCGAGTGTGGTACCTGTAAGCGTGTGGGCCTGGGATGTGGCAGGTTCGGACACCTGCCCACTGGGTCCTGGTGGGGCAGGCCTGGAGAGAGCCTTCCTGACTGTGGACGCTCAGTACTTCAGCTAAATTCATGCAGGTGCACTGTCCCATCGTCACATGAGGAGGGAGCAAGACGTGGGTGTCATAAGGTGACCCAGTCTTCACATCAGGGTTTGGTGCTGTTTTGACAACCCTTGCTTCCTCTCCTCTTCTTGCAACGTGTGCCTCGGTTCCAAAAGCCTGCACTCCCTTCGGGCACAGCTTCCTAGAGCCTCTTCTCTGGAGAAGCTTAGTAGCCCCCAGGAACTCCCTGACCGCCCTCTCTGCAGGGACCAGGGGCTCCTCTCCTCCTCTGCTCTGTTTTCCAAGCCTCTGACCCTCCGGATACAGAGCTGCTTGTCTGTACAGCTCCAAAATGCACAAGCCCCAAAGGCACTGAGCCCAGTCCTGGTGCTAAACAGACACAGCTTTTTGTTTGTGTTTTTCTCTTTCTTCCTAAGACATCACATCAGAGGACGGGGACTTTCCCTGATACCCTTTTCTAGACGTGGCTTCGGACCAGGCCTGTGCAGGCCAATAGCTAACAAGCTCCACTCCTCACCCAGCCCGGCCAGCGGCCAGCGGCCACCGAGGGATCTCTGAGCACCTCTTATCCTGCCCCGAAAGCCCTTCATTAAAATTCAGAAAAGCAAAGAGGCCCAACATCAAAAACCCACTGGGGGGTTATTTTTGTGTGGTTGGAGTGCCTTCCCTGGTGAGCCGAGCCTCCCCAGCAGGCAGAGAGGATGTGTGTCTGGTAATTAGAAACTCAGAGATTTAGTGGCTTGAGGGTCCCTTTTCCAGAGGCGCCTTTTCAGCACAGACAGCCCCTCTTTGGAATAATTGCCATGGCCCTAGAGAAGTTTCCATCCAGGCTGGCTTGTCTTGAGCCTGCATCATCCTGAAATCCAAAGGGGAAGGTCTGCATTTCTAGTCCCTTAGTTTCTGGCCAGCCCAATGGCCTCAGGAATGTGTTAACCTTTGAGGTGGTCAGGCGGCCTGAGCCAGCATCTAGGGCTGCCTTCCTCCCTTGATTTTGTTGTAACGGCAGTGACAAGGCAGCCTGTGAGGTCTACCGTGAGCTCACCTGTGTGCGAGGCCCTGGGGTCAGTGTCGATATGCATTGCCTGGCTTCCTCCCCGCAGCTCCCCAGGGAAGCAGATGCTGTTTGTTCATCCCATTTAAGATGAGGAACCAGAGGTTCAGAGAGCTTAGGAAACTGCTGGAGACCATCCGGCTGCTGAGTGACAGAGCTGGCATCTAAACCCAGGCTGTCTGACCCCAGAGCCTGTGCTATTACCATCTGTGCTCTTATTCCTTCTCTGCTGCCCTTAGTTTAGGAACGTAATCTGGCTGATAGCAGGCAGGAAGTCAGTGGGTGGTACAAACGGACAACGCACCTGGCTGCTAACCCAAGGATTGGGGGGCCCTCAGAATAAAGGCCTGGTGATCTACTTTTGAAAAATCAGCCATTGAAAACCCTAAGGAGCACAATTCTGCCCTAACACACACGGGGCTGCCGTGAGCCAGGGTAGATGCAACAGCAACTGGTTTTTCTTTTGCTCTTTAAATAGTGGGCAGATTTAGAAGGGTGCTGGGAGAAACTGCCTGCTACCCTCTGGACCCTGACCAGGCAACCTTTCTTGTCTCTGGAGATATGGAATGACCACAGAGCAGAGGCCCTGCCAGGCCTGGGATGTGGGGCCTCCTCACGTGGCCCAGATCCAGAGTCCTGGCTCCATGGTGGCAGGGATGCAGCCACTGGGCCTGGGTGAGATGCGGCTGGAAGTGAATTGAGCCTGGACAAGAGGCAGGCTCAGCTCAGCAGGACCAAGTCTCCTGTTGCCTGTGTCCCAGCCACCCCTGCTTGGGCTTCAGCCTTTACTTGGGACTTGAGGATCCCATGTGACCAGAGGGCCTGGGGAATGATGACAAGTTCCTCCAGAATCTGTCCACCCCGTGCTTACTGACTTCGAAGATCCCTTGCTTTTCTCATTCATATGTACGTTACAGCCAGCAGCATTGCTCACCTAGACTTCAGGGTGCATCCCAAGAAGACAGCTGCAGAAGTCAGGAGGGAATGGACAGACGGCCAGGGCCCAGCAGTGTGGCTTTCTGCAGGGGCATGGGAGAGGCACAGGCCTTGCTCCCTCCTCCGCCGTGTGGCGTGCTGACTCGTTCTTTAGCAGTTTCTCCTGGACTGGCTCATGTTACCTCTGAGCAGGCGTGAGAAGTCCCAGCTGGCCTCTGGCCCAGTCTCCCATGGTGTCGTTGGCATTGGCAATAGCTTCAGAGATGCTGCTCTCAGGCCCAGCCCTGGTTGGGAAGTTCATACCTTCGTGAGACATTGATTGCCACCTGCCCCGTGTCAGGCTGTGTTCTAGAGGCATGGCTGACACAACCACAAGCTAGATACACAAAACTCCTTCCTCTGTGGACCTTACGTCCTGGTGGGGGAAATGGCAGACCAGTAAAATCATGTGTCACATGGTAAAAATAAAGCAGAAACAGGGAAAGGAATGTGGGGCAGAGAGGTGCGATTTTACGTGGAGTGGTTAGGGGAGGCCTCTTTAAGAAAGTGCTATTTGAGCAGAGACTTGAAGAAGATGAAGGAAGGAGTGTAATTAGGATGTGGAAGGGTAGGTGTTGGGGACCAAGAAAAAGACCCCCAAAAGAACATGATTGCAAGGCACACATTCTAATTACAGTGAAGAGATGACAAGGCTGCTCTTGTGACTGAGTGTTTGCTTTCAGAGATGGCAAGGCCTCCCTCTCTGTGGTTGAATGTTGCTTCAAGAGATGGCAAGGTCTCTCTCGCTGTTAAATACTTAATTGGCAAAACATCAAAGTAGTGAAAGTAGATGTTATTCTCCATGTTTTTTATCTTATTGGGATGTTTCATACTTGAAGTCACCGTGTCCTAGTAAATGTTTATCGTTTTACACTCTTTATTCCTGAGGAGATTTCTGTGATTGTTTTAATGACCACCTGTTGTCCTTGAGCAGGTAGAGGAGTAAACTTTAGCTCTGCAGAGAACAAGCTGATTGTATGACTTCCAAGACTAATGATGTAATCATGTACAAACATATAAAGTAGAACAAGGGCATCAGGGGTCGCTCTCTCAGAACATGCAGGGTGTCTGCCTGGCCCCCATTCCTTAAAAAAATAATAAAGAAAACCATTAATCCTTTCGTGTTGCTTCATTTCGTGACCTGTGTGGTTTTGCCGGACGCGGCAGATAGGGTTCCAAGAAGAAAGAACAGTAAGTGCAAAAGCCAACGAGGGAGGGCATACACCTGCTCTTTGAGCAACAACAGCAGGTCAGTGTGGAGGGGATGATGGGAGAGCCTGGGCTTGTCACAGAAAAGAGTCTGCTCCCCCGCCACCTCCACCATGGATGCTTGCAGGCCTCCTCCAGCTCACTGGGCAGCCTGTGGAGAACTTTCCTCAGACTGCTGCCTGGCCTTGTCATGCCTCGGGCTGGGAGAAGTGGAACCGTTCGTGCCCCATGGAAGGCGAGGAGAACAATGTGTGCTGTCTGCCACAGACCCGAGGTCAGGGGGCAGCGCCAGGTGTGCAGGGCAGACAGAGTGGCATTGTCAGGCCTCCACGTGGAATGCTGCCTGGAAACTCGCAGCTCCTGATGAAAAGTTCAAGCAGGGAATTCATCCAGGCAGGCCTGTAGCTGAACCAGAGGTTATCTCGATCCCTCATTGCTGGCCATCTCTGCTAAACCCCAGGCTGCTCCACACAGGCTTTTGTAACTATGTGCTCCACGTGGAAACCGATGCTCCCACCTGTTCAATGTTGCTTGACCAACGTGTGCCACGTGGGTAAGTCTAGGTCTTTCCTGCTTCGTAGTGAGGGGAGCCTTAGTGCTTGACACCTGTGTGCAAGGGTAGTATTACCTACAGTGAAGTAAGGAAGCCTAGCTTGCCGGCCTTGCTTGGCTTGCTCAAGTAGCACTATGCTTCTTTCCCTGGGGCCTGAGAGTCTGGGGCTGTGGGGCAGGTGGGGCAGGTGGAGCAGCAGATAGCAGTGGTGAAGAGTGAGGTCCTGGGATCAGGCAGGCCTGGGTTCCAGGCCCAGCTCTGCCACTTACTAGCTGCGGCACCATGAACGAGCAGCTTTCCCTTTCTGACCCTTTTTTCTCATCTAGAAAATGGGCATAAGATTAGGACTGTCCTTTTAGGTTTGTGACGCGTAGTAAATACTGCTGTTGTTATTAGATCTTAGATGAGTTGGAATAGAAAAGTGTGCACAAGGAAAATCACATTGGCTTTGGCAGCAGCCCCTGTTTTATTAGAGGCTCTCACCTCCTACCTTCCCTTCTGCACCATTTCTTAGCCGCAGGAAGAGGCATGCTTTGGCACCAGGGTTTGTTTCTTTCTGGGTTGTTTTTTTTTAAGTATTATTAAGCTATAATTTACATACCATATCAGCCACCCGTCGTGAGTGTACAATTCTGTGATTTTAGTAAATTTGTGCAGTTGCACACCCATCACCATAATTGTGTCGTGGAA